AGTGAAGTGAAGTGAAGTGAAGTGAAGTGAAGTGAAGTGAAGTGAAGATCATACGTGAAGTAGCTCCCAACTAAAGGTAAGCATAAGTGGAACAGATTCACAGTTTATAAAAAATGAAAACATACTAAAAATATATTAAAATCATTAGGAAATTAAGTACATAAATGAAAATATAGTTGGGAAAAAAAAAATCAATGCTCTGTATGCTATTGGCACTTCCACATACATCAGCTCTGCCGACTGTTTTCAAATGGCATCTTAAAGAATGCAAGCAGATAACGAGAAGATGAGGTTCTGCTGGTGTATCAGTGGGATACAAAAGAGCAAAAATACATGGGTCATGAAATTTGGAATGACAGAGGCTGAAGAGCTCAGGCAGCAGCATAGAAATTGAACACTGAGTGCCACGTAGTTTCTGGGGCAGAAGTGAATGTGCTGGATTCCAAAGGCCTCCGGTGAATTATGTAAGAGGAAGAAAAAAAGATTGCCACTGAGGGTTATATCATGAAACAAACAACAATCATGCCACTGCAACAAGTACAGATAGTGCATCTAAGAAATTTATAAAAAATCCTGAAGCAAAAAGTTTTTCAGTTTTTCAGTACCATAAACCACTGTGCTGAGAATAATTTTTTTCCTGTATTTATTTTGTAAATAGATATGCACTTTTCTCATATAAATATATCACTGTAGTATTTTTGAGGGACCTTGTATGTAGAAATGGATAAATTGATCAAGCCCATACCTCATCTATTCCGTAGACTACCTACAAATATTCACCAAAAAAAACCAAAAAAACAAAACAAAACAAAACAAAAAAAAAAACCAAAAAACCAGGAGGACAGGGAAGAAAGACTTGATTGTTAAAATTCACAGAACTTGCTAACTGATGGCTCTCAGAAAACACTGAAGGCTACATATTTATAAATTAGAACAGTTAATTTGGAAAGAACCTTACAAAGATCAAGTCCAACATCATAACTGCTTAATTAAAGCAGTATATTAAGGGGGTTATTGAAATGCTTCTTGAACATTGACAGACATGGAACATCAGTCACCTTTCTAGGAAGCCTGTTCCAGTGTTTGGCCACTCTCACAGTACAGAATTTTTTCTTAAAGTGCAGTGTGACCTTCTCCTGGCATAGTTCTGTGCTGTTCTTGTGCATCCTGTCAGTGGATACCAGGGCAAAGAGAGCAGGACCTCTGTCGCTACCTCCTCTTATTAGGGAGTTGTAGAGAATAACGTCACCTGTGAGCCTTCTCTTGTGCAGACTAGTTAACCAACATATCTTCAGCTTCTTGCTGTAGGATACACCATCCAGCCCTTCTATAGAGTCATAAAATCATTAAGGTTGGAAAAGATCTCTAAGATCACCCAGTCCAGCCATCCACCTACCACCAACATTACCCACTAAGCCATGTCTCTAAATACTATATCTACCCTCTCTTTAAAGACTCACACGGATGGTGACTACGCAACCGAACTGGGCAACCTGTCCCAATGCCTCACCATTCTTTCTGAGAAGAAATTCTTTTCGTATCTAATCCGAATCTCCCCTGGCACAACTTGAGGCCGTTCCCTCATATCCTATCCTTCTACCATTGTTGCTGCCCTCTTCTGGATGCACTGAAGTATCTTACCATCCTTTTGATATTGTAGAGCCCAGAACTTCACACAATACTCAAGGTGAGGCAACATATAATAGGAGAATCACTTTTTTTTTTACTGTCAAAGCATCCCAAAATCTAGTTTGCCCTCATGTCTGCTAGGGCATACTGCTGACTCATTTGGGTAAATTCAGGCAATTTAATGCATTATAAAGAAACCAATTAAAAATGCCAACCGTCAATAACGTCTTACCTCAAAAGGCAAAACATAACTATCCCCATATTTGATGCTAAGGCTGATACTGGCATCTGTCACTTGATAAGGAAAACAGCTATATCACTTATCTCTGAATTTCATGAGACAAATTGATAGGGATGGTAGAATGATCTAGGGATCAAATGTAGAGCGGTTTAAAAGCAGGGTAGTCAATGAGATTCACTAACAGGACTCAAACACTTCAGAGATTAATGTTAAAACGGAGACTATTTTGGACATAAAAACAGCACAGCAAGAAATACAGCAATTTATGAAGTCAGTCTCTTCTTCTGTTCAATAGAACAATGCAAGATGGAAGAAAATGGTGACTTCTGACTGACTGCTGCACCACATTTGATATACTTGCTAACTTGCATGCAGCTTTCTCCCAGCAAGTAAAACCAATAAAGAAGATATCCCATCTAAAAGACATTAAATAAAACCTCAGTTAAAAAAATAAATCACACAGCTTCTTGCAGAAGTTGAGAACAGAGCCATAGAAGAGACACAGGTCATCTAAAAAATAAGCAAAGAGGAAGGAACTAACTTCCCCATTCTGAAATTCCATGATATTCAGCAATATGAATGAGTAAACAACTGTGAGACATGTCACAGAGGTGGGGATTGGGCCACTGCTTGTAGATGTAAGGCAACCAGGAGCTTGCACATTCATCTTACTAACACCCATAGAGCAATGAACACACAACCAAAGTATCTTGCAATTATCCATAATAAGCTCCACCTGTATAATCAGGAAAGAAGCTTTTCAAAAACTACTATAAATATCAGAAAATGGTTTTTTGAAGCACCTCACACACATCATTTCATGATGTGCATGAAATAACAGTGCTAAAACTGAGATATTAAGAATTGCACAGAACTGATTTCTCATGCAGTAGTTCTACATCATAAAGAGAAAGCTGAGAAAAATGTGTTTTTCTTTCTATGGGAAAGCATCATTTAAAGCTTGAAAGAATAAGAACCTGCTCTGATCACTGAATGATCACTATTACTATAAAGTAATAGTGATTACTATTATTAAAGCAATATACTACTAAAAATGTATTATTGAGAAGATACATTCTTGAAAATATATGTTGGAACGATTAGAGCCTACTCAGACCTGATCAACAAGACAGAAAACAGGCTTGCACTGACTTCTCCCAAATCTGCTTACAAGGCTTCTCAAGACTTTTAGGGCTAGCATGGTGTGAAAGAACATTTTTCCAACTTTGCAGTTGGAAAAATGTAAATGTGTTGTTTACAGGCAATTGGGAAACCATCTAAACAAAAAGTAAGGGCTAACTTAGGGGAACGAGGAGGCATTAATATCCCTGTCTTGAGATGGACTTTGGATGATATAGTGTCACATTATGCCATCACGTTATTCAATTTAAGCATAAGATTGTAATATGAAAAACATACACCATCTCTAACAGTGCTCACACAAAATATTTTCAAACACACATGAAAAAAAATGTTGGTATGCTTTTCAGCATAACTGATACGTCTCTGCTTTAGAGATGTGCTTGATGTTAGAGAATATAGGTGGGAATAACGAGGTCTGTATCTTATCTTGTCTCTTGCCACTTTGAAGAAAGCACTGAATATTGAATATTCTGGCTACTCTTTTCCGTGTCCTGAATTTTGGCATGAAGTTCAGTTTTGTAAGAACTGTTCTGGGGTTGATTTGTGCTGGCAGATTTGTGCTCTTGAATCTGTTTCAGCAGAGGACTACAAATATAAGCCATTAATAAGTCACAATAGCAAACTAAACTTACTGGAATTAGGTGTTTGACTTATGAAGGTGTAGTTAGTCTATGGATAGTAATTCTTGTTGATTCAAGCACGCTTATTTTAATGAGAGATAACTCTGGAAAGCTGAAAGTGAGTGACTGATCACCCAGAATGAATGGCCTAATGTGAAAACAAAGATGTGCCCAAAATATAGGACATATATTCCCTATGTGGAATACTGTTAGCAGGTCTCTGCCTATTCCGCTACAGTAATCAAATCCATTCAGTGTTTATGTTTGCTCGCTGGACAGGTATTCTTGCTCACTTTGTATCTATGAGTCCATCTCTGTTCAAATAAAAGGCATATATCTGTTTCAGCTGTTTGACTTGTTTTACATGGGAGCCAAACATCAGTGATAAGAATAGCAAACATAATGCACCAGAGCAGGAAAAGACTGGTAGCTGATCCCATGTCCCAGACTACAGACACTTATTGAGAAATTTACTGATAATTAAAGTTATTTTAAAAATGAGTTACTGCCCAATGGAAAAAAAAACACAACTTGCTAAGCTATATGTCCATCAGCACAGCAATGGTAGAAGGAGACAGCAACACCTTTTTCAGTATTATCATAAATCATTAAAAGTGAAGAAGACTTCCATGATCATCCAGTCCAATTGTCGACCCATCCCCTCTATACCTGCTGACGCATTGTCCCTCAGTGCCACATCTCCAAGTTTCTTGACACTTCCAGGCACGGTGACACTAGCACTCCTTGAGCAGCCCATTCCAATGCATCACCATTCTGAGAAGAAATTTTTCCTAACATCCAACATGAATTTCCCCTGGTGCAATTTGAGGCCATTCCTTCTCATCCCATCACTGTTACCTGGAAAAAGAGGCTGACCTCCACCTTGCAACAACCTCCTTCCTGAGAGCTGTAAAGAGTCATAGGGTCTCCCCGAGCCTCCTCTTCTCCAGACTGAACAACCCCAGCTCCCTCAGCCGCTCCTCGTAAGACTTATTCTCCAGATCCTTCACAGCTCCTTCTCTGGACACGCTCCAGGGCCTCAATGTTTTTCTTGTAGTGAGGGGCACAAAACTGAATGCAGTACTCGAGGTGCAGCCTCACCAGGGCCCAGTGCTGAGGGATGATCACCTCCCTGCTCCTGCTGACTACACTATTTTTGACACAAGCACGATGCTTTTGGCCTTCTTGGCCACCTGGGCACATTGCTGGCTCATGTTCAGCCGGCTGTCAACCAACATCCACAGATCCTCTTCCTCTGAAATAACCACACCACAACATGCTGATAGGTTGAAGTGATACTATACACTTTGGCAAAAAGCTATTCTTCATTTTGAGAAAGAAGAAAAATAAACGCGAGTTGGCTGCTCGCCTTTGTATTATTACTATGGAGGTTAAAAGACAAAAGCAAGGAAGAACACCTAGTCCGAAACAGCTGTGGTTATTGACAGTACATGTAGTTTTGGCACACGGACATCTTGAGATTTGGCTTATAGCTCAATGTTCATTCACACAAAAAACTTCTGGTCTTGAACAACAAATTAAAACCAACAAATGAAAAAATAAATAAAGCTGAGGGAATTAGGAGGTTTGAAAAATCACTTTGCTAAGGACTTATGTCCTAGAAGTGCTCCAGCAGTTGTTCTTACAATGATATATCAAGTTTGTTACTCAAAAAACGTAATTTTAGCACATTATGGTCTAGATATATGTAGTTTTTACTAGTAATATTAGTCCCAATGAAGGTTTTATATTAAGCTTCATGGTTCAGAATGTCCAAAAGAACTACTGATGTTCATGGCATCTCTTCATCCCTACTGATCATGTTGTATTCAGCATAAAATAGCTGATAGCACAAAATGAAGCCTGTCCACATGCAGACATGAGTTGCTTAAGTAGGTATCGCTGAACCGTTTCCCCACCTAATGAAGTTACCTACTTTGTATCTAGCTGTTCACTTTAAATATTTCTATGATACCATGTAGTGTAAAGATGTGTGTCCTCTGTTCCACATCAATTAAATTTCAAATAATTGTCCTTATGTCTCCTAAACTGAACACCACTAACACATAGTCCCCCACATAGTAATACCTGTTGCTAGCTGTAGTTTACATAAAAATGTGCATGTTCTCTTAATGTATGTGCAAATGCATCCATCTTAAAATGCAATTTCTATGTTCCTTTCTGTAATACTAGGACAGCTTTGTTGGAAGTTTACTTGGAGCAATACTGGAAGAATTGAGCAACAAAAAGCTCTGTATAATACTTAATACTGCTAAACAAACATCAGCATGGGTGTTCAAATCTCTTTTTCAGCAGTAATATGAAATGTTGGCATGAAGCACAGGACAGACAACAGAAGATATCTAGAAATAAACATGGACCCTGTATTACAAACTTACATATTAACTCCAGGGGGACAGTACTGTTCTTGCTAACACTGCACAATGCTGCAGGGGAAAATTCCAGGTAGCTCTCAAGATGCAACAGACCTTTGTCTGGCAAAGTGCAAAGTTTTGCACTTGGGCTGGAGGAATCCCAGGCATCCATACAGACTGGAAGGAGCGGTCCTTGAGAGCAGCCCTGCAGAGAAGGACCTGTGGTCTTGATAGATGAAAAACTTAACATGAGCCAGCAGTGTGCCCTTGCAGCTTGGAAAGCAAATGGTATCCTGGGCTCCATCAAAAGAGGGGTGGCCAGCAGGGACAGGGAGGTGATTGTCCCCATCTGCTCTGCTCTTGTGAGGCCCCATCTGGAGTACTGCGTCCAGGTCTGGAGCCCCCAATATAAGAAAGACAGGGAGCTGTTGGAGAGGGTCCAGAGGGGAGCCACGAAGACGATCAGGGGACTGGAGCACCTCCCCTGTGAAGACAGGCTGAGGGAGCTGGGCTTGTTCAGCCTGGAGAAAAGAAGGCTGTGGGGTGACCTCATTGCAGCCTTTCAGTACCTAAAGGGAGCCTACAAACAGGAGGGGAATCAACTCTTTGAAAGGGTTGATAACTGCAGGACAAGGGGAAACGGTTTGAAGTTGAGGGAGGGAAGACTTAGGTTGGATGTCAGGGGGCAGTTCTTTACAGAGAGTGGTGAGGTGCTGGAACAGGCTGCCCAGAGAGGTTGTGGATGCCCCGTCCCTGGAGGTGTTCAAGGCCAGGCTGGATGGGGCCTTGGGCAGCCTGGTCTAGTATTAAATGGGGAGGCTGGTGGCCCTGCCTGTGGCAGGGGGGTTGGAGATTCATGATCCTCGAGCCGTTCTGTGATTCTGTGATTCTTTGTGTGTTAAATTTCATTGTAACAGAAAAAACTTTAGTCTCCAGTCTTTAGCTGTCATTTTCTTCAGACTGCTTTGATACAGCCTTTGAACATTTCAAGAGGATGAGTTTTCACTACCACATTTTTTCATTGCTATGACCTAAGCAGTGTTCCAGTCTGGATGCATTTTACATTTAAACTTTAGGATTATTAACAATACACCTAATTATTTGTTTATATCTCACTGAACATTCTCTTAGGATTTGAAAGGAAAGACAGGTTCAAGTCTCAGGTTGATCAGGCTCGTGTTTGTAATGTAGCAGTTATTTTCTATTTCTACACTGGCTTTTTTGGTTCAGAAAATACTTGGTGGATTGCTCCTTCCATTCATTTTACTTGAGCTCTTGGATAAGTATGGTTAACCTTATTTATTCATCATTCAACCTCTCACTATTAGTTTTCACTAGTAGTTTTCAGCCAGTCTGAAGGGTTACAGGTTAACAGAGAAGATGCACATTTTAGTAAGGTCTTGTTCTTTTACAAGAAAATATGGTCAGTAAAATCCATTACCGACTCTTTCCTTGGATTTTAATAGAGTAAAGCACCACAGTTCCCACAGTTACAAAAGGTCTGGACTGACAGAATTCCCATTATCCTCCAGGAGGCTGGGATTTTTTCTATAACCACCTGAGAATAATCTCAATTTCTGACATGCTGACAAGCCTGGGCTGCTTTTCTGCTAACCTGGTTTTCCACTACTATCCTCTTCAAGATCAACTTTAATTCCTAGTTGCAGAGTTGGAAAAGAGAAAAGTAGAGGCATCCAATTTTTATGTGGTTATTCATGGAAAACAGACCAGTCTTTTTAACAGTAAAATGCATTGTATTGACATTTTTCTTACTAAAATTACTTGAAAATATTTTATGCCTAGGCACATCATTCAATTTAAAAATTCAAGATCAGAAACAAAATAATTTTTTTTGCTTTTGCAAAACTTCCAGAAAACTGAAAATTCACACAACTCCCAGCTGGAATAATACAGCACTGTGAAGAAAAAAAAATAGAGTGAAAGACTTGAGTAGGAAGTACAAGACCTTGCCCAGAGGCAGCAGGTTACTAGCTAGCAGAAGCAGCGAGTTGCGAGGCAGATGATGACCCCTCTGACTACACACTGAGAATAAGCATGTGCATTGAAACCTAACCACCAATGGGAGAAACTTATTAAAAGCAACACCCTTCTTTTCACTGACACTTTGCAAGCTAGAGCAGAGGGCAGCAGCAGGAGAGCTCCTGGAATAGCCAGTCTGGAAATCCATTCACTTTGCAGTCTCTTAGAGAGAAGCCGCTCAAGTTCTGCAATTCCCTCTTCCCCTCAACTTCCAGTAGTCCCCATATGGGGAATCCTGAAGATTAAGATTTATAATTGCTAAAACATCTTGTAGGGTTTTGTTTCCGCTTCTGCAACATTCTTGCATTAACACAGTTTTAAGGCTCTGCAGTCTCTTCTCTGTCTTAATCTACCTGCCCAAACATTGTCTGCACTGGAAGCATATATTCATATTCACGTATATTTTGAAAAGCATTTTACTGAACTAGTGCAATTAGCATTGAAGTTGTATGGGACAGGAGCAGTAAAATCAGAAAAATGAGAGGAGATGATGGAAAGAAAATTTGGAAAGAAGGAAGGACAACAAGTTGTCATTGCCAGAAACTAAATAAGCCTATTCATTTCAACACTGTATTTGATGTGAAGTTACTAAGTGTTTAAATTTTAAGTTCATAGAAGGGAATACTACCTACCCAGAGCATTTTTAGCATATGTATAGACAGGACAACTACTGTTGTAGATCATATCTTTGCTGCATTTGATAGAGACAGAAATAAGGGACTTCAGCATATAGCATGATATTATCTCAGTGAAATTTCTGTCTAACTGTAATTAAAATGAATGAAATAGAAGAACACAGTTTACCCTGAACTTCAGGAGAGTGAACTTATATCTGCTAAAGGAGTTGTTGGAGGAGATCTCCTGGGAAGCTGTTCTTAGGGGCATAGGAATAGAACAGAGCTGGTAACTTTTCTGGAACACCCTTTTGAGAGCACAAGTGGTCTCCATCCCCCAGCAGAATAAATCAAGCAGAGGATGCAGGATACCACCATGGCTGAGCAAGTCAGACTGAGGGAAAAAAAGGAAAAGTATGAGCAGTGGAAGTGTGGTTGGGTAGCCTGGGAAGAAAATACGGATGGACATGCAGAGAAGGGATCAGGAAAGCCAAGGCACAGATGAAACTAAACTTGATGAGGGATGCGAAAAATAACAAGAAGGAATTCTATCAGTACACTGAACAGAAGGGACAGGCAAAGGAGAGTGTACCTCCTCTCATAAAAGAGAAGGGAGAACTGGCTTCAACAGACATGGAGAAGGCTGCAGTAATCAGGGAGTTTTTCACCTCAGTCTTCACTAGCAGTTGGGCTTCCCACGCCTCTTGTGTCCCTGAACCTCTGGGCAGAGGTCAGGAAAGCAAAATCCCTCCCACTGCAAGAGGAGAGCAGGTTCAAAACAGCCTCATGAGGCCATACGTGTAAAAATCTGTGGGCTGGACAACATGCATCCCAGGGTCCTGAAGGAACCAGGCCAGTTTCCATCATATTTGAAAAAATCATGGCTGTCAGGATAAGTCCCCACTGATTGGAAAAGGGGAAGCATCACTCTCACTTTTAAGATAGGGTGAAAGGAAGATTCCAGGAACCAGTGG